TTGATAAATAAATATTGTAACGGTATATTAATCACATGATTTATTTAATTTTATGACTATTTTCCGACTAAAAAAAAAACCCCTATTTAACCACCCGGGTCTTTTACAAAATTTCGGCCCAAAACCTTAGAAGGGTATTTTGCATGGGGGGGGGGGGGGTGGTTTAGTCAGCGCTCTACGGTAAATATCAAAGATAAAATAACAAAAATAAAGGGGTAAAATTATTGGTAAAATCACGGGATATTACTTCTATATAAGTGGGTTGTGATCTAAGAAAGATTTTTAATTGCATTTTAATTTTTATTACATTTAGACTAAAATGTAATAAGACAAAATTTTCTCAGAACTTGATTTTCTTAGATCACGCTTTCTTTTTTTTGCGTTTTTTTGCGTTTTTATGAATAATTGATTTTTTTTAAGAGCGTGATGATCTCTTTACCCCTGATATAATCACCCCTGTAAATATTTTGTTGATTGTAATACGAATTTAACGCGTCCATTTCATTTTTTTTATTTTTTCTTTTCCTTGATAAAAAGACCATACAAAGTTATGAAACAACATTTAGAAGAAGTTTCACAAAAATTCTTTGAAATTAATTCACCTTTTACACTTCTTCAAATTCTCAATGATAAAGCGATAGCTTGTGATTTCATTGAATGGGTTTTATTAAAGTAAATAAATACTTTTATTATTTTTTTTTTTTAAAAAAAAACAAGAAAAAAAGAAGAAATAAAAAATCTAATTCAAATAAAAGAATTGATATTCGTTTAGGGAAGAATAAAATTTCATCAAATAATGGAAAATTATCTTCTAAACCAATTGAAAGATTACAAAGTAAATTATTTATTTTATTTTATTTTTTTTTTTTTATATTACTACAAATTATCAATCAAATAAATATATATAATGCAGGTTTAACTCAAATATCAGCTTCACTAGGAATATGTAAAACAACTGATACAGATTTAATTGATGTTTGTATTACTTTTTTTTTTTGAATATTTTGATACGGTATTAATCACTTCCTGATATAGGCAACAGCTCCTCATGATCGGTTAATAAGTTTCTACTTCAATTTATTAAACATCTTAAAAACTTCTCGAATATTTCTTAATGATGATGAGATACCAAATTCAATGTAAATTCCATACATTTATTCTTTTTTTTTATTTTTTTATTTTTACATTGAATTGATGCATAATATCCTATCGCATTTCGTTTTCTTAGTAAACCAGATGATTTCAAAAAATCATGTTGTTTAATTGATTCCATATCTAAAGATTGTGATTTATTTAAGAAAATTGTCACAAAAGAATTCGATTTATTTCCAAGAGATGTAATGTTAATTATTGGAAAAGATAAGTCTGCGGAGGATATTGGAAAACTTGACCTTTCTATACTTCAATCACTGAAAGAAAAAAAATTTCAAGAATTACAAGACCTTAATGCAAAATCCAATTGCATACAAGAACAAGAAGCAAGTTTATATTTGGATGAACCGGATTTAGACGATCAAACTCACGATGAACTATGTGTGATTGCTAACGATTTAACATCTCAGTTTAAAACATTCAGTAAAATTTATGATAATGAAATTTCTCCATGGATCAAAAAGGACCATGGCGAAAAAATTGTTGAAGGTAAATTTGTTTTTATGGCTCATCTATTTTGTAATTAGTTTAATGAACTCTGATAATGTTTTTAGGTCTAGGACATCAAGTGCAAGAAGCGAATAAAAGAATGTGCAAAATACGCAATGTAATATTAATAATTACATTTAAATATTTTATATTATAATTTAATATTTATTTTATTTATTATTATTAAATATGAATAATTAGAGCCTTCAGGACTATAAAACTATACAGAAATCATTTGAAGAAATCGTATCTCATCATCCAAATACGGTAGAGCCACAATATTCGGTTAACAACGATAATACGACTACTAATTATGATATAACAAATCCGAATATGTTTATAATTAACAATCGAGGTGAATCTGGACTAGAAGCAATCACAAGATTACAAAAAGTTGAGCAAGTGTTGAAAGATGGTATTGAAAGAAGAGTTAAAATAGTATAAGTATCTCGACTTAATAAATCTATACATTCGCATTTTCCGAGAAATAATAGTTTTATTCTATTAAAAATGCTAAATAAATCCAACACCTACAACAGAAATACCAAATAACTTTGCATATTTTTTCAAATATTGATCTTCTGATACAAATAAAATTTCATCCATCTTTACAATGTAAGCATAATATAACCAACAACTTATAGCCGGACGATATTCTTGTGGTACATCCATGATGTCAAATTTATCCTCTGGTATATAAATGTCATCTGAATTCTTTGATGATTCTTTAATATTTTTTTGGTCTTTATGAACAATACCCCTAGAGATATCATTGAAAATTCCGTCTTTTATAATATAATTTTCTGCACAATTCCATTGTGGTAACTTCTCGTTCGTTTTTTGAGCACGAATAAAAAGTTCGCTCTCATTCTGCTTTGCTTTGCTAAATTGTTGATCCAATTGTTCATCCAAAAAACGAATAGCATCTCTAGCACGTACATTTTCTTTGTTATTTCCTTTTTTAATTGTATCCAAAGAATCAATAACTATAAGTGTAAAATAAAATAATTTTCTTTTGTCATGATTATAAAGAGAATATTTCAATGATTATAGAAAATATAAATGATTTTTACCATCTAAAGGTACAATGACAATACATTTTTCCTCCGCTACCCATTTCTTAACAGAATTTAAGTGATTTAGGAATACACTGATATCAACCACACAATGTTTAAGTGATTTTGAAGAGACTGGAGACCCAGTACTTGAAGTTTGTAGAGGTTTGATATTCTTAACCTTATCTTCCAAAGAATCCACTTGATCTTGCAAAAATCGATGCGCCATTAATTTCATGACACGTTGACGTTCCTTTTTCTATAAAAAGCTTATTATATGTAATAAACAATTATTTAACTCCATTTCCTTCGAAATATTGAAATTCTTACCTTCAATTCCTCGTCAATAATTATAAACAGTCCGGATGATTCGTTGTATTCTAATAAAGCTAACGACTAATGATAAAACGTAAAAATGTAAATGATAAAATTATAATTTATGATACTCATATTAACATACCTTAATTTCAGAGATTTTTTTACTAAAAACCATTAATCTAGCAAAGCTAACTTTAAGAACATCAACATTGCCAGAAAAATTGAAAATAATATCTTGATGAACTACTCGCAATGGAACTACTCCCAAAAATTCTCTGTCTTCTGAAAGCGCAAGTTTAGCGATTTCATAAAAATCATCATTCGCAGATAATAAATCGGAAAGTTTTTGGTGATTTAATATATTGATTAATGATTTGAAGAAATTCTTTGAATTCTGAATTTTCAACAAAAATAATAATAAATATTTATATTAAATTAAATTACTTTCATGCAATATAAAGTGATCTAAATATACCATTAAAAACATTCCAAAAATCTTTTGATTTTCTTTATCAATCGACTTTGAATAATCATACAATTGACTCAAAAGATCAGTCAAAGTTCTCAAATATTCACACCATAATACAACAGTAGGTAAGAATAAATCTATAACAGATCCTATACAACCTAACTCTATTTCTTCAGAGCTCAAAAAAGAATAAATACTTTCAACAACTGGAACTAAAAGACCAAAAACCAATCCAATTGCCATAGCTTGCAAATTTCGAACTTCAACTATTCGATCTTGCATTAGAGAACAAAAATATAACTTAATTATAGAAATTCAAATAACTTTTAAATAATTTTGGAGGGGTAATCTTACCTAATCCTTTACGCAGATCCCAAATGGTAAACATAAGAATGAATACCACTTTTTTAAGGATTATGCTCAAATTGCGAAGATTTACTTCGGTTGAAGATAAAAAGGACCCAAAATAGTGAAAAATTTCTTCAATACCACCATTTTTGATTAATGTTTCAACATTTTCTTCAAAAATGTACCAATGAATAATCATGAACTTTTTTACAAAGTCCTGAACAGTTAATCTATAACAATTATAAATTATAAAATTAATTTATGACCCATAAATATAAATAAAAAAAAATATTTTTTTTTTCACTTACATTTCATTGGTATTTTCATTAATTTGTAATACTTTTTGAGCAAATTTCGAATAAAAAACTTTTAGATTTTCTAAAGAAATACCAGAAGGCTGTTTTGTCGAAAGACTGAAAAAAAAGGTAAAATAGAGTGTCTCAATATATCATTTTTAATTAACAGCAACTCTTAATAGGCATACGTTACCTAAAGCAATACCAATAAACAACGTCTAATTCATTATCGTCATACATCGCAAGGAGAGCTAATTGTGCTTGTGCCTTGCCTAATAATAGATTATCAAGATATAATCACGTTTCCTGACATTTCTTATGTTATTTTCATTGATATTCGACAATTACCATTTTCGCAATAAACCCTTGCAGCCTTTGTATAAAAATGTCTGGCAAACTCCCAGCGTTTCTCATTCGCATCAAGAGATGTCTCACGATAACGAGCAAAATCACCTAAATGAATGAGACATCGCTGAATGCATTCAGCAGTGAGTTCTCGTCTGCGATATTTTGACGCAGATCGTGTTGCAGTAGATAACGAGTTAACATTATTCTTGAAAATCTCTATAAATAAAACATATAAAATGAGATTTCAAACAATTGATCAAATTTAAAAAAAAATACAATTTAATTACCAATTCCAATCCAATCTAAATCTATATTTTCGCGAATTTTTAAGCTATTAACAATCGTATGATAAAATCCAGTACCTAGATCCAAATACCGACATAATTCGAGATATGTGATCTGGTACTCGGCCTTTTCAGGTTTAATCTAAATAATTATATAAGTTATATATATCTAGCTCGATTAGTTTGATCAGTATTTTATATGTTTTTGATAGTATCAAGCAACTGACTTTGCGCAATTTTTGCCTAAGTTCTTCTATATGACTATAAAAAACGTTTCTCCAAAGTTTTTCTTCGATATTATGTTCATTAGCAATTTTAAGATCAATAAAGAGAATATCTTCACAAACATCTTTGAGGCTATATTCATAAATATAAATATGTTAAATAAAGTATATTTGTTATCAAATATTATTCTTTTACCTATTGCGCAAAAATTCAGTTTCGTCGTCTAAATCCGCAGTGTTTTCGGGATTTTTGACTCTTTTTTTTTGCTGTTCTTGCTTCTTTAAAAGTTCAGAAGCGTCACTAAATAAATTAGGTGTTAAAAAAACGTTATATTCTTTCATGTTCAAAAAAGGTTTTTTAAACTAAATTACCTTAATAATTCTTTCAGCCTTTTCCTGTCTTCGTTAACATTTGTTGCATTTGTTGACATTGTAAAGGAATTGACCCATTACTATTGGAAGAGAAAACGACCTTCAAATTAAATAAATACTATAGATTTTTGTTTTGTTTTTATTTTTTTATTTTTGATTTTATTTTGATTTTGCGTTTGCTGAGAGAAGTGTTCGGTTCAGGTGTTCAGTTTGATCAATGCAGCGGATCTGCATTAATTTATGATTAGATAATCTAAAAATTTAAACATATGCCCAAAATCTTTCACCTTTAATTCTTTAAAATGGGGGCTCAAAGTTCTAAACAAGTTTCAAGAAAATTACCACAGAATGTAGTTTCAAATGTCAAATCAAGTGCAATTGAAACACATTCATGCAAACAAGTACTTAATGAACCGATAACAAGTGACAAAGGTATATTATTTAATTATTCGGTAGGTTTTCCTTGGGACAATAATTCATTATTTATTTTAATACAGGAGATGAAAAAGATCCCCGTTTATTAAATAATTTATTTACAATTGGACATGTTAACGTTCCAAAAGAAAAAATCACATTTACACAGGTATAATTTAATATTTAAAAGTACGTTTTATATAATCTTTGTTAAAGTTTACCAAACCTTTTTTTTTTTTTTTTTTTGAGGAAAGTCGGATGAAATGTTAAAGATTCTTAGAAACAGAAAAGCATTTGACGAAGAAAACGGGGGAAATATACCAAAAAACCGCATATTAGTCTATGAGTTGAGGGAAATGCTAGAACAAAGGAAAAAAGCTCCTAATGAATTTACAGCAGAAAGGTTATCAGCACAATATAATCTAGATGTACCAACCATAGAAACCTTGTTGCAACACATAAATACATTTACATTAACTGGAGGTGTAAACTCAAGAGCAGTGTGGGTTGAGGACAGTCAGTTATTTAGAAAGAATGAAAATGTTGCTTCTGACTAATGAATTTTTATTTAATCCGATTATAATAATAATTATAATAATCCTGTAAATAACCTTTTATTCTAAAAAATTTTTTCTTTTTTGTTGCAAAATCATTTTTTAGTTCCAAATATTAAAGTTTTGAACTTTGTAAAAAATCCAACTGATTCGTTTTGTGGTGATTGTTTTGCTTTTTCCTTTGTCAATTTTGGTATTGGTGACTCTTGAGGTTTTGCTGCTTGTTTGACTTGTTTGACAGATGTTTTTGCAGTAGTAGCCGTTGTTGCCACTTTTGGTTCTTCAACAATACTTGCTTTAGGAGTCGATGAGATAACTTGTTTTGGAATTGCCTGTGGAGTTGCTTGTGGAGTTGCTTGAGGAGTTGTTTGGGGAATTGCTTGAGGAATTGTTTGAGAAGTAATTGATTGCGTTGATTTTGAAACTTCTGTTTTTTCAGTATTGGCCCAATTCATAAATTTTTGTGCAGTTTGCGCGTCTAAAGTTATTCCCGCCTTGCTAAGTTGCGAATTGATGGCCATAATTTTTGAACTTACTTCTTTATCTGAAGCAAGCTTAGCCATTTGTAACATAGAAGGCATTTGACCTGTACTTAAGTCTATTCCTTTTCCTTGAAGAAGTTGAGAAAATTCTTGAATGGATGTAAGGATTTGTGGATCCGAACGAATTTTAGTTACTAAAGGATCATTAGGATCTATTTTCACATTATTGTCTAAAGGTGAATTGATAAAATTTCCTGACGTGATATGAAATGGTCGACGTTGTAAGCAAATTGGTGATAATGCGACGTTTACTTTAGGAATAACGTATCTTAATTTAATATAAACATTGTAAATACAATATGGATTTGCATAGATATATCGTTCATTTCGAAATAAAAATTGCACCGACATCCTGAATGTTCTGATGGTAAATTCTTTTTGAAATTTTGATGGTTAAATAGGCAATTTTAAAATATTTCAATGATATCATGCAAGCCATAATGCGCTTATCTTTTGTGCATTTACTCTGTTACACTATTACCCAGAATGATAAAATTCCAAAAACTGATATCAGAAATAATTTAATAAATTTATCTTAGTAAATTACTAGATTCAGGAAAGTTATCGAGTATAATAATGTCAATGTGATAACATTTTTTTTTTTAATCAACCAATTAAATTGATCTTAAATGTAGATAAATTTTTTAATTTAACTAACTATTTAGAAATTAAACATAAATATCTTGTAAAATATACTTTTTGCTAAATTTAACCATTTTATTAGGATTATATTATAATTTGATTTATTAATAAGAAATTAAAACTCATAATCTTTTATCTTTTATATATAAATATTTGTCAATTAATCTTACTATTTCAAATTAATCAACTAATCTCAACTTTCTCTTTAGATTAATTTATATTAGTCTAAAATAACAAGTATTTTACATGTATCAAACCACCCAAATTACTGATCTAACTTAATTTAAAATAGTAATTTAATTTTTATTATTATTACTAAAATTATGATTAAATTATTTAATCAAATTTTATAAATTTTATTTCAGTTTTATTTTACAACTTAACTTTATAAAAGTTTTTTTTATTAATTTTAGTATTTCAATTAATATTAAGTTATTAAGTTATTATATGACTTTAAAATTGATTTTTAATCTAATATTTTAAAATTATGAAATTACATTATTTATAATACAATATTAATTTTAATTTAAAAAGTTTTTTAATATAATTTAAGAAAGTTAATAATTTATTAATAAATATAAATTAAAGTATTATTATTAGATTTTATAATATAAAAAAGTTAATTAGTTATTTGATTATTTGGGTTGTTACATATAAAAATCAGGTTTTAATTATACGATTATATAGTTTTGCAACATGATTTTTGTATGTTGTAACCCAAATGATCTTTAAGAAATTGGAAATGTAACGCAGTAGAGTGATCTGCAAAAGATCATCATGTGAATTGATTCGCAAGAATCAATGACACAATAGTCGGTAAAAGGTGATCTGCAAAATTAACCAAATCAGTTAATGAAGAAATAAAGTAATAGATCATTAGCCCATGATGACACGCGTAACCTTTTAAACTAGAAATTCCAAATAGAAACTTCAAGGAGAAACTAGTCAAAAGGCTAAGTATAAGGATGTAGCAATAGTTTAAGAACAATATAA